ATTGGGCATATTTACTAATTCATCAGAATTTAGTAATCACCCATTCTCTATATTATTGAAGCCGCAAGTACAAAATCAGAACATCGTACACCGGTAAAGAGGTTTGTTCTTTGCAAGCTAATATAAATACCGGTGTGTGAACCGTTTCAGTTCCAAATATTGTGCTGTGCCTAATAGATAAGTAGGTGTTTGTTGATGTAATCAGTGTCGGCTACACTGTTTTCTTTCTGTTAATTTCACTAACAAAACTTTAGTTGCGAGAACAGATTCGTCCTGTCGTGTTTGTTGTCTTCACTCCGTCGTCGTTGTTTGAGCGGTTTTCATCATGTATGACGTTTACCAACTCGCCCTATTCGCTACCCCTTACAGAAGACTACTTCTTACATAGGTCACGAGTAACAACGGTGCCAGTGTGCAGCTCTGAAAGTCATGGGTAACTCGCTGTAGAAGGGCACTATTACACGAAGGGAACGTCTGGAAACACCAGCACGAACGGCTACAAAACGTGTATGTCCGTGGAAGAAAGAAACCTCAATATTCTACTGACCGTTCTATCCTGTTTTCAAAGGTTAACAAAAGCTTCAAAGAGGAATTCAGGTACCGCGTTGTTGCGCATGCACTTTCGGATGTTCGCCATTGACAGTTTTGCTTCTTAGGCTTTATGCAGACATTATTAAATTTTCGAACTTCTCCCTATTCTTCAAATTCATAAACTTTTGAGTTGGGCTTTCGTTGCCTAAAGAGTAAGCCACAGAAAACACTCGCCCGCAATTATTAATTTTGGAGCAATATTATTCAATGAGCTTAACAAATAATACAAAAAAGGACATTTTCTTTGTTATAAAGCTGACGAACTTTAATGATAATAAATTGATATATGCATGATCGAACAACCTCCATATAAAAAAGAAGAAAAAAAAATAGGTGAGCTTTTCTCCGCATCCGCTGGGTTTGCGGTGAGCTTTTCTCCGGTGAGCTTATCTGCGGTGAGCTGTTCTCCGGTGAGCTTTTCTCCGGGATTCCTCCGTGACACTCCCTCTGTGTGTTTCGGATCGTTTCTGTGTCATCACTTTTGTGTATTACGGAAGTGAAAGGATATTCCCTGGTGATCTGTGCGATGTGCGGTGAACAAACCCTAGCGTTTGGTTTCGGAAAGAATTGTATATATCAACGATGTGGTGAATTTCTATGTCTTAGTAATATGACAGCTAATAACTAGTCATGCTAATTTACAGTCAAAGGTTTATAAATCGAAACAATACAACGTCTGCGCCTCTTGGATATCCAAGGTCTACTAGGCCTGCTGATTTGGTTAGATATGTTTCTCGTGATTTCCCGCTCTTATCAAAAAGTAAATAACTATTCAATACCACGAAATACGTTTATAATTGATAACAAACGCAGACAAAAATTCACGAAAACTTTTTCACAATTCATTGAAACGCACAGGTCGCTATGTCTGACTTAGCTCTCGCAAAACGAAGACGGCTTTTTCCGATATTGAGGCTTAAATATAAAACTTACAAAAAAAAATGCACACTTTCTCGACTTGATTTTCGAGTAGACAACTACCATAACTATATTTTAAGAAAAAATAAAGAAAAATAAAAAAATGGGTTTTTTGAGAAAATCGATTTTAAAATTGGTACTTTTTGGTTTTCGCATAACATTAACATAAACGTCCCGCAAAGGATATTGTATACAGCTAAGTCATTTTATAATAAATTTAAAGAGCGTGTTTTGGGCATAAAAAATATTGATGTAACCCAAGTAGATCGCCAGTATTTACATTTCTGACATTTTTATAGAAAAGCAAAACGCCTAAAACTATTTCATGGTATTAGAGCGCTTTAAATATTCTCATAGAGTGCTTGCAAAAAGTTATAATGTGGACTGAAAATCCACGGCGGGAGATCGAGCGAAACATCCGACCCACGACGGATGTGAAAAACACTGCTTTCTGCCGCGGCCTCTTTGAAAATTCGTAAGTCGAGTACAAACAAATCCGACGAACTTGCGATTTGTGGCTACTTCGTTTTTAGAGACGACACCAAAAACATTTTTTTTTTTCAGCGAAATTAAAAATTCGACCCTTTTTGCTTGCCATCCGTCCGATCACGAAAAATGATGCAGGATGTAAATTGCATCACACTAATGGATGTAAATTGCATCCTATTGTAAATTTTTTTTACAATAGGACGTTACGTAACTGACGAACCAAGTGGAATGTAGAAAAGGCTCGAGGTACACCTAAGCACTTCTCACGAGTTTTGAATGCGAAAGCATGCATGCCGCTTGTTCGCTCCCTTATTTCGTCTGCTGTGCACTTTTCGGCGCCGGTCAGCACGCGTACTCCCCTGTGCGCGCTGACCTTCGACGCTCCGTGTTAAAGGGGTACTCCGCCGATTTTTGAGCTACCTCAACTAACTATATTTGCTGACTCCCAGGCCTTTACCCTTTCTGGAATGCTATTTAATATCGTGAAATTCATAATAGTTATTGTGAAATCGGCAAATGAAAATGATGCAAAAACAGACATTCAAATATACCCGCCCTTTTCAGGGCCGTGACGTCAGTGGAAGTTCAGCTTGCCAGTCGGGCGAGCAGTCTAAAAAATAGAATATGCCAATTATTTGTTCCGTGCTGGAGCGCGGGGACTGGAGCGAGCTTCCAAGGCATTCATTTGACACCATGAAACTGCTTCAAATCAGTTGGGAACAAATTCTACAGTCCAAAGAGTGAACCCCTGCACTTCCAATGACGTCACTCTTTCATTGTTGCCAGTAGAGACTTTCAGTTTGAAAAACACGGTGAGGACGAAAATTGTAAATTCAATAACTTCGTGAAAAAAAATTATTTTGACCTAATATTTGGGATACTATTTTGGCGATGTTGTTTGGCGAGTTTAGCAAAATTTCAAGCAAATCGGGGACCATGAAGAAATCGGCGGAGTACCCCTTTAACGGCGCGCTGACGGACATGCTCTGCCATGGGGTGAGCCACGGCCGCTGGATCTTCTTTCTGCGCGCGCGCAGAAAGAAGATCCAGCGGCCGTGGGTGAGCGGTCGTGGAAACTGACGCGCAGCGGCCAATGGGAGCCCCGTTGACGCGCGCCAGCCAAGAAAACCGAAGCCGAAAATCCGTCAGCTTTACTCCGCTCCTTTGGGATCGGGGAGTTTAGGTGCCGTTGGCTAGCTTTTCGTGAGGTTTCATAGCTGGGAGCTGGCTTCACTTGGAGAAAGTGTTTAAAGGGATACTTCAACGAAATTTGAAATATTCCCGTCGTGTTCAAAAATAGGTTGAATATGATCCACATTATCCGTAAATGACAATCGCGCGTTTGTATTTTGAGCCTGGTGGTTGTATTTTTCGTTATAAACGGCCCACTTTGGCAAGCGCTCGGAGAAGGCCCAGCGGAGACCACGTGACATCCAACGCAATCGTGACGTAGGTCGTATCAAGACGACCAAAGCTACGGCGAGGCTGACGTCGAGAGGATGGCCTAGTCGTTCCAGCCACCGAAGCGGCTGCTTTTGTACAAATTTTGAGTGACGGGTTAATCTTCTATAATCCTGTAGGGGGACAATAGCGACTTCTGCGACACACAAAAGGCATTCTCGGGAAGAGGGGAGTTCCTCCTGCCCCTCTTCTCTCGTCGTGGCCGGATTCGAGACAACCTCCGTCACTAGCTGCCAAGGTTGCTAGACGGGCATTACAAGCGAGGCGTTAGCGACATCCACCAGGTGCTCTTTGCTAATCGTTTAATTAGTTTTAAAATTCCTTTTCGTGACTTTTTTATCGAGATATTGGTATGTTCGATTTGATGGTGCTTCTTTGAACAGATATAGACCAAAAAATGAGCGCCGAAATTTCGTTGTAGTATCCCTTTAAGGTGTCGTTTGGCGCGGCTCGCTCCACGAGACCCCCCATTAAAAAGCTCAATGCTTCGATTTGCTCAGAACAATGCTTTTTGCTGGTCTTCGGCCTGTTATAAGTATTTCCAACCTATACTCCGCGACTTTTCTTGGCAATGCAGTGGAGCGCGGGCTTTCCTTCTCTCCCCAGAAATTCCAAGGAAAGCTGTTGCGGAATATAGTTATAATTTGACTTAAATACAAAACAAGTGTCCACAAAAGCAACAAACAAATGGTAAATAAAACCTTTTTTAGAATTATTGGGGCGGGAAATGTTTGCTTTAAATCGTAGAACAGCTGGTCAGACTTAAATCGCATTTTATTCCCTAGCTTGGCTTCGGTGATAAATTACTCCTCGCACAAGGTCAGAATAAATCGCCCAAATTCCCATCATACACAGCAGAACGGTGCAGCAAGCACATCGGTTCTCGCATCTCATTTTTCATTAGTGAATTAGAAACATGTCCATTAATTAAATGGCTCTACTTGAGAATGTTTCATTGCTTCCACAAACTAAAAATTTAGACACCCCCACCCCAATTTCAATTCCTGGGGAAACCCCTGCTGCACACTGTACTGAAACTGACGCTTATTGCAAGTGTCATTTCTAATTTCAGTCCAAACCACAAGTTCATGCATGTCCAAAAAACTTTACTCAACTTTATTTGAGCAGTAACGTAATTGCTTACAAATATCTCTCTCCGAGGACCAGAAATATTGCTCGAGAGCTCAAAAGAAAACTACCAGTTTCTCGAGGTCCAAAGCCACTACGCCTGGCACACAGAAATTACAGGTGCATGAAAATGCGTAATCAATTCGTATTGCAACCACCTGAATGGCCATTCGTGCAAGCACTGCCGCAGGCATTCCACAGGCAAAGCAGCTGGTGATTTCATGCAGTATGTTTATTTGCAGCAAATTGGTGAGAATGAAATGTAAAACTCCACAGAACAGTGATGCAGCAAGCTTATAAACGGCTAAAAACAATCCTATAAAATACAAATCCTCGAAGTGTAGAAATGACGCGTGGCAGGGCAATCCGGGATGCAGTACAGTGTTTTATTCACCGTTTATTTCTCGTTTCAGATGGCTACTAAAAACTCATCAGGACCATTTTGCCAGTCTTCCGTCCTAACCGTCCAGTCGAGTCGATCGGTCCACTGGAGCGAACCATCTCAACGCAAGACCGGATTGAACAAAACAAAATGCAGGCTTAACCATGCGGAATGCTTCTTTTAGTGGGTCAAGAATTTTCAGAGAGGGGTACTGCATTAAGCCAGAGCCACAATGCTCGTACATTATACAAAAGACAGTCAGTAAACACAAGTCACGGCAATATCCGTGGTTGGAATGCCGCGTGCCAAGTTTCTCCTTGAAGTCACTGCCATGCGGCATTCGAAGCACGGATCTTGCAGCGACTCGCGTTCGAATCTGTATGCATACTGTTTTTTGTATAATGTACAGGCAGTGAGACCCCGGCTTTATGGTTCTTTTAGTTCTGGAGCCAAGATGGGGGCTACAGAGGCCTGTAGAAAGGAGGTGAAATGGGTTTAAGCTAAATCACTAGTTTTCATAAGCTTTTTCACATCTATTTTTTGGGGCGTAATGTACTAGTTGAGGAACTGAACATTTCACATCATGGCTACAACATAATGATGCTCGGCATCGATTCCCCGACAACATTATGCAATCAAAAGAACACATACTTTCAATAAAACTTTTTGCTTAATTAGCCAATTAAGTGACCCATTTCACCTTTTTTTTACTAGTGGCCCCCATGGCCCCCTGCTTTGTCCCAGGGCTAAAGAGGCCATTTCTTTTGTTCTTATTCTGGACCCACTGAAAAAATCCTGTACTGTTAAAATATACATACATTTACATCAATAAACAATGTTAAAAATATTCCTACGAGGTCTGGCTCGTGCGAGAGCAGCTCCTCGCATACCGTCTTTCGAATCGTGTCCCCAGGTCAGGGCTGATAAAAGAGGAAACAATATACATGCACATTCTTGTCAAACAATAAAATGCTAAAAATTTTACTATGGGTCCAAGCTCTCGCAACAGCCCCCATTGAATCGCGTCGCTACGTCAGGGTGTGCTTCTCCACGTCGAGCTGGTACCGAAGCAGTCCGGAAAGCACAAACTCTGCCGTCACAACCGGGATCCTGCTTTTCTTGGCTTGGGCGAGCGTCCGTCTGTCCTCCTCGCACGACACGACGACGGTCTTGTCGGCGTACCGTGTCGGCACCTTTGCCAGGTACTAAAAAAAAATTTTTAAAGACGCTTTAGAGTGGTTACGGACGTTCCAAGCTGGCTTCGATGCAGGTTCAAAGGTGCCCCCCTCTATTTGAAACTGCATTGTTGTGCCTAGGGCCACTAAATGAGCTATGACTACCGGTACTCGATAGTCCGATTCTCTTGTGGGTGCCGCCATTTTGGTGCCTAGTGGAGAGCAGGCACAATTGGCGGTAGCCACGATAAAAAAAAAAGTGATTTCTCGAGTTTTCTGATTTCGGATACACCCCGTATCCAAATAAAAAAACTCGAGAAATCACATATCCGAAATCATACAGAAAGCCCAGGCAAGGATTTTCAAATCCCGTGTATTTTGAAACCCTACAACATACAGGGTTTTCAAACCTTATATGTTCCGGAGGGTTTTAACGTTTCTAGAGGACGAATAAAGTTAAAGTTGCATGCGATTTCAGATCATGTTTCGGATAAAGCGCCGTTCACACACTTGCAACCGAGTAGGACGGAGAGGGACAAGACCGGTTTTAAAGCCTCTTATGAAGTCTTAAGACCAGCTCCACAGCATCGCATCCGGTCCTAATATGTCGCAAGAAGATTACAAACCGGTCTTGTCTCTCTCGGTTGTTCTCTGTTACAAGTGTGTGAACGAGCCTTAACTCGAAACAATGATTATGTACCAAGAAGCTAAAGCGTCGCTACTCTCGAGCGTAGCTCATTTAATGGCTCTAGTTGCATCCTGTGGCATACAATACGCTTGTAAATAAAATTGACGCCTAAAGGACGGATTATCGAATCTAGTATCACCAACCTATACACCGCAAAAGTGAACAAGGCTAGAATTGTTGTTTGATGAAGAGAAACCTGGTATTGTGATGTCCCTTTTAAAATGTCCAGACAAAGCATGTTCCAGTTAAGAAAGGTTTAATAAGAGACTTGCAGCAAGTGGGAGAGGTTAAAATGGTAGAATGCAAGGCAAACATTAACAAAAGGAACTGAACTGAAATAAAATTGCTCTCCGAATACAAGTTTTAAAACCTGGTAAACAAATAAAGTGATATGATTCTAATGAGATTAGATAAGCTAATGCGTTTATAATAAATTCATAATGAGATGTGCAAATATGTCATATGCAGCTGTTCACAGTGCTTACCTTTCCACCTGCACAGGACACAATCTCTGCAAAAAAAGAGAAGTGCTTGCTTAGCAACACTAGAGTTTCCAAACAGCTTGCATATTTTTCTCACTTTAAACATGAGGTCAGTTTAATTAAGCAGATGCCTAAAGCTGTGGTTCAGCACTATTTTTACTGCATCTTTAGCACTGTATTTACACTATTTTTCGCACAATCCTCTGCACTCCCTTTCCACCCACGGATTCAAAGGGGAGTGGAACAAAACGCAATGTGCCACTTTTCCAACTCGTCACCGGGCAACCATGACAGAACAGATGCCAAGTGGCTAGATCCAGCATGCCGAGTCCCAAACCCAACCCAAGTCAGCCAGTAGCCCCACCCCATGCCACAACGCCCCCTACACTTTCTTCCTCGTTCACCGTCTGCAACCAAACGTTGCTTTTGGGCAAGAAAGAAAGCAGAGAAAATGGGAAACACCAGCAGGTGACATTTCGGATGTCCTCAAACATGACCACCACGCTGGGTGGGTAAAGCAGATCAAGACTGTTGGTGAAACAGTGAGCGATTGGTTCCCTGTCACACGTAACATGCCCTACAGTCGAACAGCCCAAGAAATGCAGAGCGAGGCAAGCCTAAAGCACCTTACTACCGCTCCACAGCAAGCGAGATTGCAGCTTTAGCCAAGAAAAACGCCAAAGAATGAATTGCAAAGCATGAAGATAATAAGCCATGCCTGGCACTTCTTTGGGCTGTCTCTACCAGTGTCGCCTTAGATCTTAATTTAATGCAACTCTGGTGGCTGGAGTGTGCCTCCGACTAGTGCGGTTACCGTATCCTCAAATGTGGACCCTCGATTTCCACCCGATGACGTCATGCAAGAGTCATGCTGCGATCCTAACAGTCGCGCGGCAGTGGAGGTGGATGCGGCAGACACTCGTTCGTCTGCTCGCCTTTTTTGCCAAAATTTTGACAACCACTAGCCGGGAACGCGACACCCGACGGCACAACACGCCAGCTCCCGTAACCACATCCGTTGCCATTTCAGGACCACTTTATCGACGCGTGGCCGGGATAGGACGGTAATTGCACTGGTCGAAGATGTGTTCCAGATACCACGATGTTAAGGTTTTGTAGAGAGGCACCTTTCATGTCTTGGGGGGGCGGCAGGACGTTGGGCGTGGCGTGAAGGCTCCAGCCGTTGAGGATGCCACCCTCTGAGGCGGCACGCCCGAGGGTTGCCTCCAGGTTGAACTTCATGGTCTTCTCTGCAGCCTTGTCCTTCAGGAGGAACGGCGTGTGGTCTGCAATACATCGAAATTCGAAGGGGGAGGGGGGGGGGGGGGGGTTTAAGGGGTTTGTTGTTTCCCACAGATTTAGTGTCTTTCCGCACAGATTTTGGGTGTCGAATGGGAAGAAAAGCTGCATTTATTAGGGCTTAAGTGGAAGAAAATTGGCACAGGATTCCGCAACCCCCGAGGAACGTGCGTGAGACCAGTCTTGGGTAAGTTACTTTTAAAAAGTAATTTGTTAGTTACTTTAAGTAAAAAAGTAGCGAAGTTACCGTTACAGTTACCGCAACAAAAAAGTAACTGGTCACAGTTACCTTTAAAAGTAACGTTACTTCTCAGTTACTTTCCTATAACGCTAAAAATTTAAGAAACATTAGAAAACTCCCCTCACAAAGTTTTATTGCATAAAATTAAATAAAATAAAATTGAAACTTAGCAGCAGTTGCTTTTTAGAAATAGTGGCTGAAAGTTTCCCTCGTTTGATGGCAAGGATGTCCCTGCCCTTGCTGAACAGGCCCCGCGCAACCAGAGCAACAAGCAAGCCCCGCGCAAACAGCAGTAAAGTTTGCCTCGACTGTTGCACCACGCCGGAGTAGTAGCGCAAATCGGAATACGAAACATGTGCAGTGCGAAATAGTGGTGCTAATCAAAATACGAAACATTCGCAGTGCCCCCGGTTTGTATTGTAGTCTCACGGTTGATTCACCCGGTTAAAAAGCCTTTGCACAGAAAAGAGAACCGCAACAAAGATAGGGCTTTAAGATATACTAAGATGTAAGCGTTCTGCCACAAAGTACGAACACGTGCAAAACATAACCAGATGTTTTTTTTTTATCACATCTGCACGTGGCTATATTCCGGTCATGAATCGAGAGGAAGAACATGTTCACAAATTTGTTCAAGGCCAATTTGACACTAGCAATGTCAAAACAGGCAATTTAGAAAGTGCAAGAAATAGCTAGATTGTACTCGCTCAATGATATATTATTTATAGAAAACTGGAAAGTAACGACAAAAGTAACGTTGTTACTTTCATCGTTACCTCAGAAAAAAGTAATAGAACTACAGTTACAAGACACATTTTTAAAAAGTAACTCATTACAGTTATAAGTTACCAAAAAATTACGAAGTTACAGTAACGCGTTACTAGTAACGCGTTACTACCTAAGACTGCGTGAGACCCAAATACTTCGAAAATGACCCAGTACCAATGAGAGAAGAGATGTGGTTCCCAAACAAGGGTAAGCAGCATTGCAGACTGTGTTTACAAATTAAGCTGTAGACAAAAGACATCTCCCCATGATGCTTTGTTTTTTTTCGTATTCCAGGTCGAATTCGGGGATTTTAACTTTCCACAATTTTCTTAAAACCAGCTCAGGTACTTGTCAGGGTTTGTCGGCATACGCTGGAAAACCCAGAACCCTGCTCGCATCTTGGTTCACTTTCTGCAACACGGGGGGTGC